GGCAGAGTGGAGGGTAGACCCAGATTTGTGTCCCTCCTGATGAATGAGTTTGACATAGCGCCAGGTGAGTGTGCCCGAGGCTTTGCCACCGACTCACCAGAGCCTCTCAGCCATCACGTTACCGTTCTCATGACACAGAGGGGGGAAACTGAGGCTCAGAGTGATCAGATGCTTCTCCAAAGCCACCCAGGCAGACTACTCTCGCGCTGCCGTTGTCTGACTGCAAAGTCCATCATCACAGATCCCGTCCTCCAGAAAGCGGATGCAGAGAGTCGGGAGGGGAAAAAGTTATGGAGAGCGGTCGTGAGGAAGGGAAGGGGAAACGGGGTTGGGTGGAAGGGAAGGAACCATCAGGCCACCGTGTCAGCCCAAGGGGGAGCCCCGGCAGCAGAGCCTGCAGAGAGAGGAAGCCCCAAGTAGGCAGAAATGGCCAGGAGCCCCTACCTCGCCTGGCTCAGGCAATGGCCAGAGGCTACCAGGAGCCGCTGTCCCGGACTGGCAAGCTGAGGCAGAACCGGAAGGGACCGATCGTGGGAGGCTATCTGCACTCCTGGCAGCCATGCCACATGTCTCTTCTTGAGAGATCCAAGCAGCATGCCTCCGCCACTCCGCCATCTATATTAATAATGGCAATGATTGAAAACTAGGACCTCCCATTTACTGAGAACTCACTCCTCGCCAGCTTGGGCCGATGTGTGCTAACTCCTCTGACCCTCATAACCACCCCGGGAGGCATTCACTGGGTGCTTTTTGTCCCCATTTTATAGATGAGGACACTGAGGCACAGAGAGACTAAGTCACTTGCCCAGGGTCACACAGCTGGTTAAGCGGCAGAGCTGGGATTCAAACCCAGTTGGACAGTGAGCCCCATTCACAGAGGAGGACACTGAGGCCCGGCATTACGCCACCTGCCATCTGGCTACCGTCACCTCACTGGGATCCCCCTGACGTTTCCAAACCCCCCAACCCAGGGTGGAGGCCAATATCCACAGATGCCTCCCATGGCATCACCTCTGTCTGCTCAAGGCCGTGCACGGGTCAGAGGGTGTCTGGTCTCAAAGCCCGAAGAGAGGATGTTGCAACCCTCTGACTCAGTGTCGTGCGTGCAGACCCAGCAAGAGGGAGAAAGGGGAAGATTAAGTCTTGGCCAAGGCCCCAGATGGGCCGATCCCACTCGGTGCCAGGGTTCCAGAAGCTGCCAGAACCCCAGGGTGGGGAGGAACCAGGAGGTACAGGCCATGCTGCAGGAAGCTGGCCGTATTCACCCCCGGGGATGGGGAGGGGCAGCCTCTGGGAGCAGGGCTGTCTGCAGACCCAGTGTGGACCTCCAGTGTGTGACCTTGGGCAGGGCCTCCAGCTCCGGGCTCAGGTCCGCTTTCCTCTGTCTGTGAAATCTGCTCGTTCTCCCTGAACCCTCTCTTAAATCTGAATCTGGGCCTTCCTGCTGCCACGTGACCTTCTCTCATCAGCTCGGCCCTCCCTATGCCTGGAGCCCTGCAGGAAAACTGGGTGGATCATGCTAATCGTTTCCCCCTTTTAAACCATCCCTTCCTAGACGATAGGGGTCTGGAGTTAGGAGAGGGAAGGCCCGTGGTCTCTGGGACTGACGGCCCCTCCCGGGGCAGCAGATGCAGCACTAGGGTGCTGGGGACACAGACACCTGGCATTAAATCTTGAGGACCCCGGGCATCCAAGCCCAGCACGTTGAATCCCAATTTCCTCAATGAAATGGGCCTGGCTGGTGACACTCTGTGGTTACACGACAGGATTAATTACCATCTGTTCCTATGGTTATAATAGGAATAATGATCATCGCAGCCACTTTGCACTTAGCACTTCTTATCCATCAGGCCCTAAGGGCGGCCACATTAGTGTCTCGATTTAGTCTGACTGATAGGTGGGGAAACTGAGGCTCCAGCAGATTAAGGAACGGCCTGGAAGTCACACAGCCGATGCAAACAGAAGACAGGACTCTACCGGGGCCTCAGTTGGGAGCAAATCTTGGAACAGAAAAAAGCCCAGGAATCAGGCTGATGGGAACCTAGTGTCTAAAAAGCACTATCCTCCCCTCTTGGAAGGCCCCCCCTCCCCCCAGAGAGCAAGAAAGCTGCCCCAGGCCCACAGCCTTCTAGCTGGGCCTTTGTTTCCCTGTCCCGTAGGGTCCGTCCTTCCCCTGGGGTTATTTGGGGGGGGGGGCGGATAAGAGGGTAAGGAGCAGTAGGAGGGAAGAAAAGATTTGAACAGATACAAAGGGCAGGCTGCATGAGGGAAAGTGGTTAGACACCATGCAGGACTTCCGGGCTCTCTCTGGGAAGTTTCTGGGACTCATCCAGGGGCTGCCCCTGCTGGCAGGGGGCCTCCGGAGCTCAAGCCCAGACAGGGGAGACCCTAGTCCTCCCCGCCTGGCGTGCAGGGAGCCAGGGGGGAAAGGAGGGGGCAGCCATCCTGGTTCCGCATCCTCCATTCCCGACACTGGAGGGAGGCGGCTGTGGGAGCTGGGACTTTCCTGAGCAGTAGAAGATTCTGGGAAATTAGACAGCTGCAGGGCGGGGCTGACTCCAGGCCTCCCTCCTCTTCCCTTCCCTGTCCCTGCTCCGTCCCAAGCACTCCTCTCTTCCCTCTGCCCCAAGGACGCCCCCCTCAGACTGCGCCTCCTCCCTCAGACCATGCCCTCCATCCTCAGACCCTCAGATGCTCCCCCTCCAACCTCTTCCTCCATCAGACCCCCCCTCACCCCTGTACCAGCCAACTCTCTCCTCCCTGCGAGCTGCCTTCCTCACTTGATCTTCCTCAGTGCCTCTTCCTTCAGACCTCCTTCCCTCCCTCAGAGCCTCACCTCCTCCCCCAGACCGCTTCTCTCTCCCCTCTCTTAGACCATTTACTTCTCGCAGACCTGTCTTCCTCCTTCAGAGCCTCCTCCCTCAGACTTCTAACTCCCAGCTCTCATTCTCTCAGCCTTTCCAACCCTCCTCTGGGCCAAGTGCATAAGCCCCCTTCCCCCACCTCCAGTCCTGTCTGGCCCAAAGCCATTGCCGGACCTGCCACAGGGAAACAGAGTAGGGGGAACGTGGGTGCCCTTCCAACCCCACCTCCTAGGGTCACCACCTTGACCCTTGACGAAACCCGCCCCTCTGAGGCTCAACTTCCCCTTTTGTGCAGCGGGGTTGTGCGCTTGTGCTGTTTGAGCGTCCCCACCAGTGAGGGAGGGCTGTGTGGATGGGAAAGGCAGCACCCAAGCCCTCCAGCCAGATTCTTCCATTTCTTCCCCTGCCGAGGCTCCCCCAACGCGGGGAGGCAGGGGTTGGCATCGGCCCCGTTTGCCAGAAGTCCAAACTGAGTCCTCAAGACAAAGGATTTGCCCGATGTCCCACAGGGAGCACTTGGACCCAGGCCCGGCCCCCAAATGCTTCCCCATTACAGGGGCTAATGGGGAGTTGGGGGGCGACCCAGAGAGAGGCTGAAAGGAGAGAAGGGGAAGGGGTGAGGCTTCTCTCTCTGCACAGCTGCTCCTCACATCCCTGGTTAACGATCCACTGGGGTGGGGCCGGAGTCCTGGGCAAAGTCCCTTCCTGGGGACCGGGGCCCCACCCCCACTTTCAGGGTCGCTGAGGCACGCTGCTAGGGAGACCGAGAGACCGGGAGACAAAACGAGACAGAGGTGGGGCCAGAGACAGGGCGACGAAGGCCAGGGATGCGGGGACAGAGACACAAGCGAGCCAGGGGGACCTGCGTGCCTCCTGGACGAATCCGGGGTGCAGCCGCCATTCTTATGCCCACCCCCACCCCCGCCCCCGATCCCCAAAACCTCCCCCTTGGCCTCCCGTAACTCAGTGACCCGGACTCAACCCCAGCGACAGCCCCGCCTCAAGGGAAATCCGGGAAAGCCCCGCCGCTGGGGCCCCTCCCCGGGGCGGAGAGAAGCGAGGCAGGGGAGGGGCCCCGGAAAAGGCCCGCCTCTGCCCCTCCCCGCCCACCGGCTCCAGCCTGCCTCTGAGTCATGCCCCCAACCCGCCCGGCCTGTTCCCCACCCACCAACCCCGCCCGGACTGGAGGGGGATGTGGGGCCGAAGGGGTAGGCAGCCTGCCCCCCGCCCCCCAGGCTGTGGCCGCCCCGGCTCTGGTCTGGTGTCTCCGCGCCTCTTGCTATCTCTCGGGTCTCTTTTCCTCCGTTTCTCACGATCTCTCCGCCCAGAAGCCGGAGCTGAGTGAGGGATCCCGCAGAGACACACGCACTGTTTCCCGGTGCACTGCCCCGCCGCACCCCACCCCCCAGCGGAGCTCAGCCCCACGGCTGGGACACATGGAGGAGGCAGAGATGGGGACAGGGCTGGCGAGGGCGCCTGGGCGCCCGCCGAGGGCAGTCCCTGACCTGGGTGCGTCTTTCTGCTCCCGCAAAGGAGGAAACGGCTCAGAGAAGGGAAGTGCCTGGTCAAGGTCACCGGGCGAGGAAGTGGGAGTCGGGACTCGAACCCGCGCCCTAGGGGAGAGGCTGAGAGAGACAGAGAGATGGTGAGAGACACAGAGACAATAGAGACAGAGGCAGTGAGAACAGAGAGAGACGCGGAGATCGAGAAAGAGAGAGACGGGGGGTGGAGAGAGAGAGAGAGAGACGGGGTGGGGGGAGAGAGAGAGAGAGAGAGAGACCCAGACCCTGAGAGACTATCCAGATCAGAGAGTCAGAGATACAGAGATAGAGACAAATAGCCAGAGAGACCAAAGCACTGAGACATTGACGGCGAGAGGCAGGCTGCCGTAGGGGTGGGGACCCCCAGGCCCTGACCCCGCCCCCTTCCCCATCCCCGCCCCCCACCGAGGCCCAGCCGCCGGGGGCGCCGCGGGGTCGGGAGAGGGGCGGGCGCGGGGCGCGGCGCGGGCGGGACGCTCGGCGGGCTGCACCGCGGGGCGGCGGGAGCGGCGGCGGGTCCAGGAAACCCCTGGGGCGGACGGGTGGCCCCGGGGGGGCGGGGGGGGCCCGGGGGCGGGGAGGCGGGCGACCGGCACCGCCCCGGCCGACAAAAGTCCCTTCAATTCAGCCGGCGGCAGGGGAAGTCCCGGCGCCCGGCGCAGCCACCCTCCCGTGCAGCCGAGCCGCGCCGCGCTCCGGCCGCCCGCTCGGCCGCCGTCCCCGGCGGCCCCATGCCCCGATGCCCCGCGGGGGCCATGGACGAGGGGCCCGTGGACCTGCGCACCCGGCCCAAGGCCGCCGCGCCCCCCGGCGCCGCGCTGCCGCTCCGCAAGCGGCCTCTGCGCGCACCGTCCCCGGAACCCGCCGCCCCCCGCGGCGCCGCGGGCCCAGGGGTCACCCCGGATCCCCTAGGCGGCGGCTCCGACTCCCCGGCGGCCCCCGCGGCCCCCCACGGACTGGCCCGGCCAGAGGCGCTTTATTACCAGGGTGAGTGGCTGCCATGGGTCCCAGCCAGACGGGAGGGGGTTGTCTGATCGGGCAGAGGGGCACCAGAGCCAGGGAACAGAGTTCAGGACGCAAACACAGAGCTGTGAAACAGGGGGACGGTATCCAAGGTGCCAAGGACACAAATATGAGGTTTCTTGGGAGGGGACAGAGCCTGAAGTCCCAGGGACACAGCTGTGGAAGCGTCAGGAAGCAATGTCTTGGGGCACAGATATGGGAGTCCCAGAACCCCGGGTGTCAGGGGGCTCTGGGGGACGGGCTCAGAGTCCGAAACGCATAGATAAGGGGACCCAGGGGACAGTGCCCAGCAGTACAGACGCAGGGTCTCAGCGAGTCAAGCGGACAGAGCCTACAGTCCCAAGAACAGAGTTGTAAGCTCTTTAGAACGCAGATATGTAGGGTTATGACGAGTCGGCGCTTGGGCCCAAGAAACTGGGGTTCCCGGCATCCAGATATGTGGTGTCAAAGGGGGTCCTGAAAACAGCGACTGGGGTTCTAAGAAGACAGATGTTAGGGATGTCAGGCCCTCAGAATCTCAGGAACCAAGAAGGTATCAGAGAACAGCGGGAATCCGGAGAACAGAGCTGGAGTCTGAAGCATCCCAGTCGATGTCCGGAATCCTAAGGATCGAAGGAAACAGACCCAGATACTAGGGGTCCCCAGGAGCCAGCGGGCCAGAGGTCTGGGTTCTGGGCACCCAGTTAGGTAGGGGCACCCAGGATCAGGGTCTCATCTGAGGTCACAAGGTCAAGTGGTCACAGAGTCAAGGCTTGGGGGCTGAGGGTTCTAGGGTTCTAGGAATGGGGGCCAGGACCGGGGAGTTCTGGGGCTGGAGCATTTTGGGCCAGGGGCGTCCAGGCAAAAGGCTGCAGGGCACCAAGAGCTGGTACTGGAGATACGAGGACTTTGGGGGTGCAGGGATGGAGGGCCCCCAAGGATCAGGAGAGGACAAAGAAGGCCAAAATCATTCTCCCCACCCTATCGCCATCTCCGATGTCAAGGAAGGGGCCTCTGCTACCACAGCTGTGCCCACCTCACCGTCCCCAAGTGACCCCAAAAAGCTGCAGGGAGCCCGTGCTCCAGACTCTGGCCCCATTCCTGCCCTTGCCCCCCCATCAGAGCGCAGCACCTAGAGGGCCTCAGGCTGTCCATCAGGAGGCCTGCCACGGCCTCCTCCCCTCTCCCCCATTCCCCAGATGAGAACCCAGGCCTCAGTTTTCCCCATCTGTGCGGTGGGTGCATATGGCTTTGACTGCTGCCATGTTTGGCTTCTGACACCATTCCTCTCTCCTTCTGAGCCCCCCTTCTCCCCAGCTCTCTACACGGTCACCCCACACCCTACACCCATTCTTACCTCCCTCGGCTACAAATTCACCCAGCAAACAGGCCCTGGGGTCCCCTGCTGGGTGACGATGAGGTTCGGTCCCGTCCTTAAGGGACTCTGGCTAGTGAGAGATGGAGGCCAGAGGCATGAAGAGATACGTGACAATGACGGTGACCAGGGCTCACGGAGAATGGTGAAGGGGGAACGAGTTGCTGGAGCCCACGATGTACAAGGCCAGTTTGTCTTGGGCCTTTTGCACAAGGGACCTGGAAAACAGGCAGGTGGACAGAGCAGGAGTGAAGGCCTCGAGGTGGGGGTGGGTCGAGGGTCTGCAGGCTTGGCCTCACCCATGTCCTTTCCTCTGTCCAGGACCTCTACTGCCCCTATACCCGACCCCGACCATGGGCTCCCTCTTTCCCCTCGTGAACCTGCCTACACCCCTGTACCCCATGGTGTGCTCCATGGAACACCCCCTATCGGCTGACATCGCCGTGGCCACCCATGCAGATGAGGACGGAGACACGTGAGTAAAGCCTCCCATAAAATGGGGGGAGCCAGCCCTCCACCCACCTCACCCACCACATCACACGGGCTTCTGAATTACCTCTACCTGAGTTAAGATCCTCTCTCTACTGCTGGCTGTGACTTTGAGCAAGGCTTTTCCCCCTCGCTGTGCCTCAGTTTCCTCTGAAAAACGGGCAACCTGGGAGCACTTACCTCCTAGGACTGTTTTTGAAGTAGGGGGCTTCCACGTTTTTGTCAAAATCCGAACATGAGAAGGGGCGCCTGGCCCTTCAGTAGAGCGTGAAAGAAACTCTTGATCTGGGGGTTGTGTGTTCAAGCCCCACGTCTGAGATCACTTTAAATACATAAAATCCTTGCTTATTTTTTATTGTTATTGTTTATTTTGAAAGAGAGTGCGAGCATGCGAGCATGAGCAGAGGAAGGGCGAAAAGAGAGGGAGAGAGAGAGAATCCCAAGCAGGGTTCTTGCTGTCATCGCCCAGCCTGACTAGGGGTTCCATCCCACTAACTGTGAGATCACGACCTGAACCAAAATCAAGAGTCCGGACACTTAACCGACTGAGCCACCCAGGCGCCCCTAAATAAAATAAGCCCAGAAATTCTTTGAAAAAATTCCAAACGTGAGAAAGACATTTCACGGATTGATTTGTTTTATGAACCACACACGTTAAGCTCTTAGCACTGAGCCTGGTAGGTCAGAAGTGCTCAGTAAGTGTTAATTCATATGATTACCTTGTGTTCAGCCAAGCACACGTACACACAGATACGCTTGACATAAAAATTGCGCAGAACAAAACAGGAATCACCCTTCCTGCAAGGGGTCCACTTTGTGTGTTCTCACTACTCTGTAGTGTGTTTCATGATCTCATGGTCATAGGCCATTCGATTAATTTGCCGATCCCTTAAACTGATCTCACACATCCTATAGTTGATTGCCTGCAGTTTGAAGAACTTGCCCTCGAGGCCGCTGCGAATCCGTGCACGGGATGGTTTAGCTCTGTGCCCGGCACACAGTAAGCACTCCGCACACCTGAACATTACATTATTTATCCACCTAGGTCGGAGTTTCCGCTGGCCCCTTTCTCCCCCCCTCTGCCTGAGTTTCCCCCCTGTAAAAACAAGAACTATAAGCATGTGAGAGTCTGTGAGGCAGGCATGAGATGGCTTCTATAAAGCGCTTATCTGGGCATTGGTTTGGGGATTGGAAACGAAAGGTAGCGTAGGGATGGCACGGACACGCTTCTGCAGAAAGGGGATCGCCATCGCTGGCCAACGGGGCAACTTCACATCCCTGAGGCTCAGTTTCCCCTTCAGAAAATTGGGGGCTCCTACAGTATCTATCAAGATTAAACCTCAGTGTATTGATGTACCTACATCTAGAACATAGAACAAAGCCAGGCGCACAGTAGGTCCTCAGCACCTGGGAGTGGATATTCTAACAGAACTCCCCAGCTGTTTGTAGGCCATTCTGTGAGTCCAAGCAGGAGAAAGTGCCCGAGATATATATATATATATATATATATATATATATATATAAAGCTGAATAAAACTAGTTCCCTCCCACTCAGTGTATTGATGTACCTACATCTAGAACATAGAACAAAGCCAGGCGCACAGTAGGTCCTCAGCACCTGGGAGTGGATATTCTAACAGAACTCCCCAGCTGTTTGTAGGCCATTCTGTGAGTCCAAGCAGGAGAAAGTGCCCGAGATATATATATATATATATATATATATATATATATATATATAAAGCTGAATAAAACTAGTTCCCTCCCACTCTGGGTACCTCTGGGGTCATCTGTGAAATAGATTTAATTTGTATCTGCCCCCTGGGGTGATTTGTTTGCAGCCTGTGAACACAGAAGACCTGGCACCCCAGTCTCAAGCCCTGCGCCCCACCCGCCCTCCCCCGCTCTCCCCCTCCCTCCCCTCTAAAGCAAACACTTCTTCCTCAGCTGCCTGTTGGGGGAAATCCCTTCCCGCAGAACTTGACCGCAGCCCAGCTGCTCTGCCTCCCCCACGTCAGCACCCGTCACTCACTCGCAGCCTCCCCCTCCTGGCGTTCAATCTAACCTTAACCCCTTCCGCTGGGCCCAAGACTTTACCGGAATGGACAGCTGGCTAGCCCGGGGGCGGGGGCGGGGCACACGCTAAGTCTGGGTCCCCAGAGCTGCAAAGCTTGGTTGCGAGGCTCGGCTTCTAGGGACTCAAGAGAGCAGAGAGCAAGAATCTCAGAGCATCTGGACCCTCAAGACGTCAGGCGCCTGGGAGCTAGAAATCTGGGTCTCCAAGAGAGAGGGGCGGTGTTCTGAATCCCAGAGAGCAGAGGTTGGGAGGGGTACTGTATTCCTTGACCCCTGAGGGCTTAAGGAACAGGGTTCAGGACAGCTTGGGATGTATGACCCACAGGGTCGGTATTCGCAAAGAGGGCGCCGTATTACCTACCGAGTCCTAAGAGATCTCAGGGTTGGAAGCCGGGATATGGGGGACACGGAGGCCGCTGGAGTCTGAGCCCTGAACGGTGGAGTTCCAGACGCGCCCCTAGGCTGGAAGACTTGGGGTCCTTCCCTGCAGGGAAGCTTGGTCTCCTTAGGTCGGCCTCCCTCCCGCCCCACCCCCAGGCGAGGATGGAAGTAGGGGTGCCGGGGGAGGGGTGGTGGTGGCCGGGGTAGATCCCCGGCGGGAGGCTTCCCTCCCCCGGGAGCAGGAAGCGGAGCCCCGCCCAGCAGACCTGTTACTGGAAGTCCGAGGGCTGGGCCGCCCCTCCCGTCCCCACTTCCTCCAGCCCCGCCCCACCCCCTGCAGCCCGCGCGTTTATGGGAACTCAGGCCTGGACGGTTTCTCTGAAATCATTCGCTCCCTCTGCCCTCACTTAACCCTGCCCGCCCCAAGAGGGACGCAGGCCGGGCTTCCTGGGAGACGATGGGAGGGAAGGGAGCCCTTCTCCGCCCCCTCCCTCCCCGCAGCCCGGCCCCTCCCCCAACATTTTCCTCCTAAATTTGGCTTTCACGGGTCAGGATCCAGGTTCAGCATTTCACCTGCAGAGCTCCTCCTGGGAGGCGGGCGCTATTGCGGGCTATACTTTCTGGGGGAGAAACCGGGAGGGCCACGTGATTTTGCTCTAGCACGTGCAGCTAGGGAGGGCTGCACCCAGTTTGCCACCCTGGCCCGCTTAGCCCCCACAGCGCCCATCCCTGGTTCCAAGGAACCATTTAGGGAGCGGGTTTAGCCTGCAACTCGTGATCTCATCTCAGGTCTGGATCACTGGGTCGTGAGTTCAAGCCCTGCATTGGGTTCTGACTTTAAACATTTAAAAATTAGGGGCTCCTGGGGGGCTCAGTCGGCTAAGCGTCAGACTTCGGCTCAGGTCATGATTTCCGGGTTGGTGGATTCAAGCCCCCTGGCCGGCTCTGGAGCCTGCTTCGGATTCTCTCGCTCTCTGCCCCTCCCCCACGTGTTTGTGCTCTCTCTCAAAAATAAACATTAAACATTTTTTTAAATTAAGAAAATAAAATGTGGATTCTGGAAGCATATTTCCATGGGGAGAACCACTGTTCACCTGCAGCTCAGGGTAGTAAGAGGCAGTGATGGGTGAGAAAGTCGTGACTCTAGTAAGTGGACTTTAGAAGGTTGTGTGGCTTGTGTACATGCAGTTAACCTTGTACCCTTAGTGCTAATGCTCCCCCCCACACACACAGCGGTCATCCCAGACTGCCCCCACCTCTATAAATGGCTCTTCCAGGCTGGGGCTGCAGGAAGGAGCAGGGAGTTTACTAGGACACCCTCTCCAGATCAGCGCCTGTGGAGCTGAAGGAGGTTGGGCCGCTGTGTCCTCTCGGCAGCCCTTAGCTGTCTCACAGGGAATGCTGCCGCTCGAGTGGCCTTTAGAGATGCCGCCAGAGGCCAGGCCCTCTGTGCCAGCACTGGCCAGTCACGGGATGCCAGTGGATGGCAGCTGCCCCCACTCATGACCCAGGCAAGCAGTTCTTTCCAGCGGACGGTAATTCCCAGAGACAGCTGAGCGCCCACAACCTTCCCAGAAGCTAAGGGAACGAGACCTTCAGTCTGGAAGGGAGGGCTCTGGGTTATGCAGCCCAGCGTCTGGAACCACGACTCCATCCTGTACATCCCACCTCCCCCTGGGACAAAAACTCCTCCAAATAAATGCTCTGCCTGTGCCGTGCAAGTCACAACTGACAGAGAGAACTTGACGGCTCCTGCTTATCCCCACACGTTTCACAGATGAGAGGGCTGGGGACATGCTCCCAGCTTCCAGGTTGGCCAGGGAGCACTGTGATGATGAGTTCATTTATGAGGTACATGTCTGTGGAGCACCCGCTTGGCACAGGCCGCTGTCCTGGGCCCCGGGCAGTGACCAAAGCAGACAGAACGCCCTGGCCCGGTGGAGGTGGCATTCTAGCGGGGGAGATTCAGACAGGAAACAAGTAAACTGTACAATGTCAGGTGATGATGTGAAGGAAAATTAAGCAGGGGGGGGAAGGGGAGCGAGTCGCAGCCATACCATTTTAGCAGGGGCCCAAATGAGGGGAGCAAATCGTGCAGATATCTGCGGGACAGCTGTTCCAGAGAACAGCCAGTGTCAAGGCCCTGGGAGGCAAGCGTGCCTGTCTTGTTCAAGGAACAGCAAGGAAGCCAGGCAGAGTGAAGAGAGCAGACAGGGGAGAAGCCAAAGGGGTGGAAGAAGGGAACACAAGATCCCACAAGGCCTGTTTGACCTTTATTCTGCAGGTTCTGGGCAGAGGAGGGACTTGATCTAAGTTGCAAAAAGGTCCCTCTGGCTTCTTGGGGGGAGGGGGGGCGCGGGGAGGAGCGGGGAGGAGCGGTGCAGACAGTAGAGCAGGGGTTGAAGCAGCGAGGCCAGTGAGGAGGGAACCATCCAGGAGGGAGGCGATGGTGGCTGAATCAGGATGGAGGGAGCGAGGGTCAGGAAAAGTGTTTGGGTTCTGGGTGTTCTTCTAAAGCACCCAGCACAAGTTGGGTTTAGCACCCTTAAGCTTATGGGGGTGAGAGGTAACTAACGAGCCCCTAATGCTTGTGATTCCCTCCCCCCACCCCCCAGGCCACTCCACATTGCCGTGGTGCAGGGCAATCTGCCAGCTGTGTACCGGCTTGTCAACCTCTTCCAGCATGGGGGCCGCGAGCTGGATATCTACAACAACCTACGGCAGGTGAGTCGGGGGTGAGGGGGCTGGATCTGATGGAAGAAAGGGCTGAGGGTCCGGATTCCTGAGTCCTGGACAGGAAGAGCTGGGGGCCGTGCCTCTTGAATCTGAGGGAGGAGGTACTCCAGATTTCTGGTTCCCGTACCCTTAGTACCCTTGTACCCTTAGTGTTAAGACTGGAGCTGGGGGTCAGGACTCAGAAATTCTGGGACACGGGACTGGGACGCAGGGCAGGGTACAGGTCCCTCACGGTCTCTGTTCCCCCAGACACCCCTCCACCTGGCTGTGATCACCACACTGCCATCTGTGGTCCGGCTCCTCGTGACGGCTGGTGCCAGCCCCATGGCCCTGGACCGTCATGGCCAGACAGCAGCCCACCTGGCGTGTGAGCACCGCAGCCCGACCTGCCTACGGGCGCTGCTGGACAGCGCAGCCCCGGGCACCGTGGACCTGGAGGCCCGCAATTACGACGGTGAGCACCTACCCCGGCGCCGAGTGGGGCTGCCTGGCCAAGTCCTGAAGTCCAAGGGCCCCAAAACCCAGGCTTAAACGGAGTCTTCCTGTACCTCAGGGCTCACCGCCTTACACGTGGCCGTGAACGTGGAGTGCCCCGAAGCCGTGCTGCTCTTGCTGGAGCGGGGTGCAGACATCGACGCGGTGGTGAGCAGGCGCGGGCCGGAGGTGGGGCCAAGAGGAGCCGGGGCGGGACCCCCAAGGGGGCGGGGCTTGCGTGGGAGGCCGCGCGAGCGGGGGTGGGGGTGGGGCTTGAAGTATCTAACGGGATTGAGATGTCAGAGCAAGCGGCTGGGATACTGGCCGCTGGCGGATTGGGCAGAACTTGGAGACCCTCAGAGACCGTCCCTCCGTTCTGCAGGACATTAAAAGCGGCCGCTCCCCACTCATCCATGCAGTGGAAAACAACAGCCTGAGCATGGTGCAGCTGCTGCTGCAGGTGGGTACTGCCCTTGCCCTTGGCCTCTCGCCCGCCCTCTCCTCCCGCACCAGCCCCGCAGTCGCCCCGCGTCGCTGGCATCGGCCCTGCCTTCCGGCTCTGGCTCCCTCTCGTGCTCCGCTTCGCGCGCTTCCTCTCCCTTCTAGGCATCGACATGTCAACCTTATGACGTCACCCTTCCAAGGCTGTCCTCTGGTCCCGGACCTTCTCCCTTTCCTCGCCCGCCCCCAAAGGAGCCGGCCCTGCGCGCGGCGGCCTTGCACACCCTGCCTTCCGGCTCCCGCCCCGCCAGGACTCCGGACCCTTCCTTTCCCTGACTCCGCCCCTACTTCGGCCTGGCGGCGGAGTCCCGCTCCCGCCGGTTCAGCCCGTCCGCTCAGTGTCGCTCTGACCCGCCCTGGGTTCTGGTTGCCACCCTTCTGCCACCTCACCGGGATCTGGTCCCGCCCAGGTCCTGGCCCCGGTCCGGGGGGGGGCCCCCCCCCAGCCTCAGTCCCCTCCCCGACGCTCGGACCCCAGCCCGGCCCCGCCCCATCCACCGCCCGGGCCCGGGTCCCGCGGGGCGGCGGCCGCGCTGACCCTGCCCTCCCGCCCCGCAGCACGGCGCCAACGTGAACGCGCAGATGTACTCGGGCAGCTCGGCGCTGCACTCGGCGTCCGGCCGCGGGCTCCTCCCGCTCGTGCGCACGCTGGTCCGCAGCGGCGCCGACAGTGGCCTCAAGAACTGCCACAACGACACGCCGCTCATGGTGGCGCGCAGCCGCCGGGTGAGTGCGCGCGCTGGCAGGGCCTGTGCCCGCGCGCCGGTCCGCGTGGACGTGACATCTGAGTGCGCGCAGGGGAGCGGGACAGCCTGTGGGTCCGCGGGAGCGAGCTCGGACAGGGGGGCCTGAGGCACAGAGCCGACCGTGCGCTTCAAGACTGGAGAGAGGGAGAGCAGCGTGGGCAGGAGGGGCCTGATGGTGACCCCCCACTTCCTACAGGTCATCGACATCCTGAGGGGGAAGGCGACCAGGCCTGCTCCCGCATCCCAGCCGGAGCCCTCGCCAGACCGCAGTGCCACCACCTCCCCTGAAAGCAGCAGCCTCCTCAGCTCCAACGGTGAGAACCTAGCCTCGCTTCGCCAACTTCTCAGTCCTCCCTTCCCCCCCAGCCATCCAGGCCCCCAGCCCCTCCCCCACAACCATCCATTGCCCCCAAACCCTCCCCTTCCCAACCTTCCAGGTTCCTAGCCCCTCCCCCACAACCATCCAGGACCCCAGCCCCTTCTCCCCCAGAACCTAACGGGGGCCCCCATCGCTCCCCTCTCAGAACATTCTAGACCCCTGTTCTTCTCCAGACGCCCCAGAGGGGGCCCCAACTCCTCCTTGGAGCTGGCCTCTGACTGCGCCCACCTTTCTTCCCCCTCCAGGTCTCCTTTCTGCATCACCCTCCTCCTCGCCCTCCCAGTCTCCCCCCAAGGACCCACCTGGATTCCCCATGGCCCCCCCCAATTTCTTCCTTCCTCCCTCATCTCCACCTGCCTTCCTGACCTTCGCTGGGGTCCTCCGAGCCCCAGGCCGGCCGGTGCCCCCCTCTTCAGTTCCAGGAGGCAGCTGAGACGGATGGGGGGGCAGATCTCAGACTCATGCGGAGGGACCTCCCTGCCCTGTGGTGGTCGGGCCTCCTGGAAACTGTGAAGACCTCACTCTGCCCCCCCCCCCCCAATCTTGAGGACCAGGACTTGCACAGAGGGACAAGCATCCACCCATAAGCCCCCTCTTCTGAGCAAAGATATCCTCCCGCCCCATCCCCCTCACCCCCCAGGGCTCTTACATACTCTCATCCTCGGCACCAGGCCCCCAGGCCCCCAGGCCCCCAGGCCCCCGTCTGGAGTTTCACCCAAATTCCTTCTCCTCTCCCAGAGCTGGTGGAGCCAGGGAATTGCCACTCCCCTCCCCCCTCGACCCGCATGGATGAGGAGGGGGAGTTGGGCTGCAGCCAGGCACTGATAATGTAAATTATTAGGCATTTTGGTTAGATGTCTTTTGTAATAAACTATTTTTGTACCATACCCTGGCTTGGCTGGGCCTCTTTCACGGGAAGAGCTGGTGGCGGGGGAAGGGCTGGGGGAAGCATGCGCATGCGCGGGCCCAGCGGCGCCTCCTAGCCGGCCAGTGACCTGTCTTGTCTCTGATGACTGATGATGACAGGTGCGGGCGACTCTGGGGTTTCTGGTGCGTTTGTTCTGTGCTGTCACCGCGGCACTATTTCTGGGGATGACAGTGTGCGACATCTTTCCGGGGGACCTTTTTGGATTCCGTCGTGACCCGGGGTGTCTGCAGACCTGCGGGTTTGTCAGGTTTGAGTGTCCCTGTGGTATCATAGCTGTCACGTGACTGATGGTCTGGGAGCCTGTGTGCAAGTAGCACTGGTGAGTGTTTGTAACATTGACACCTGTGGTCATCGTGTGACTCTTTCCATGTGGCTGCCTTCTTTCTGTGCCATTTTTAATACCCTGTGATCCCAGAGATCCCCCCCGCCACACACACACAGTGTTTGTGTTTGACTCTGTGTCACTCAGGGTTTGCATTCATTTCATGTCACCACTGTCACATAACACCACAAACTTAGTGGCTTAAAACACCAGATTTAGTCACAGTTCTACAGGTCAGAAGTCCAAAATCAGGGGACCTTTGTGACTCAGTTGGTTAAGCATCCAACTTGGGCTCAGGTCATGATCTCACAGTTTGTGGGTTTGAGCCCCACGTCGGGCTCTGTGCTGACAGCTCTGACCCTAGAGCCTGCTTCTGATTCTGGGTCTCCCTCTCTGCCCCTCCCCCGTGGGAGCTCTCTCTCTCTCTCTCTCTCTCTCTCTCAATAAATAAACATTTTAAAAAAGTTTTAATACAGTAACACCCACAGGGGCGTCTGGGTGACAGTCTGTTGAGTGGCCAACTCTTGATTTCGGCTCAGGCCATGATCCCGGGTCATGAGATTGAGCCTCAAGTCAGGTTCTACACTAAGCATGGAGCCTACTCCAGATTCTCTCTCACCTCTTCTGCCCCTCTCCTCCTCTCTCCTCTCTAAAAGAAAAGAAAATATATTTAAAAAATTTAAAGTGACATCTACAGATTGTAGGGATTAGGAGAAAGAGAGCCTTTATTCAGCCGGCCCCAGGCTTCCATCAGAGAAGCAGTTTACTAGGAGGTAGGTATGGGTAAGAGATTGTTACCGGGATTTGACCATCGAGAAAGGAAGATGCATATACAGTGGGGACAGCAAGACAAGCTGGAACCCCCAAGGAAGGACTCGAACCCGCACTGGTCTCCGCTGCCTCCAACTCATGAAAGGGGGGTGTCCTCTGGGAGAAGCTGGCAACCTTGGTCCCATTCTGTCGGGCAGTGACCACATGTTTGTGTATTTCAGAGCGATGGTGAGTGTCATGTTTTGGTTTGTTTGGGGTTTTTTTTCAATCTTGGGGGCCTCCCTGAGCCTCTGGCCCTTCGTATGTCTTGGCCGCTGTGAACATTTCTGCCGCCACTGCTTCACAGCGCGTTGTGCCTTTGGGGCCAGCGGCGTTAGTGCCTTCCTGGGAGACGGTGTCGTGTCCCCAGAATGGCTGAGTGTCTGTGTGTGTGTGTGTGAGTGTGTGTGAGTGTGTGTGCGCGCGCAGGCACGTGCGCACACCCAGGGTGAGCTCTCACGGGGTGATCCGTGTTCGCCCAACTTAGATGGCTGTATGCTCTGCGTGTGCTTGTGACCCTGTGGCGGCATCTCTCAGCCGCCTCTGGGCTCCCGCGTCCCCGGAGCCGCCTGACCTCGCCCGACCTCGGAGGGCCTATTAGCTTCCTAGGGTTGCTGTAATAAAGGACCACAAACTGGGTGTCAGGAAACGACCGAAATGTATTCTCTCCTGGTTCCGGAGGCCAGAAGTCTGAAATCAAGTAGTCAGCAGGGCCACACCCCCTCCAGAGGCTCCTTGCCCCTCCCAGCTTGTGGCCCCCACACCCCTGAGCCTGTGGTCCCCTCTCTCTGGTCTCTGCCTCCGTCTTCCTGTGGCCTCCTCTCCGGGTGTCTGTGTCTTCTCTTCTTCTGTCTCTTTAGTTAATTTTGTTAGTTTATTGATTTTTGAGAGACAGCGAGAGCCAGAGCATGAGACGGGGCAGGAGCAGAGAGGGAGAGGGAGACACAGACTCTGAAGCAGGCTCCAGGCTCTGACCTGTCAGCACAGAGCCCGACGCGGGGCTCGAACCCACGAACCCCGAGATCATGACCTGAGCCGGAGTCAGATGCTCAACCGCCTGAGCCACCCAGGCGCCCCTCTTCTTCCATCTCTTGTAAGGATGCTTGTCAATGGATTTGGGGCCCACCTAGATAATACAAGATGATCTCATCTCAAGAGCTTTGCCTTAATTATATCTGCAAGGATCTCTTTTCCAAATAAGGTCACATTCATGAGTTCCAGGGGTTAGGATGGGAACATATTTTTTTTCAAAAATTTTTAGTGTTTATTTATTTTTTGAGACAGAGAGAGACAGAGCATGAGCAGGGAGGGTCAGAGAGAGGGAGACACAGAATCCGAAGCAGGCTCCAGGCTCCGAGCTGTCAGCACAGAGCCCGATGCGGGGCTTGAACTTGTCAACCGTGAGATCATGACCTGAGCCGAAGTCAGATGCTTAACTGACTGAGCCGCCCAAGATGGGGATGTATTTTTTACGGGGGCGGGGGTGGAGGGGGAGCCATCATTCAACCCACTACAGAGGGTGACCGCTGGGCCCTGCAGGCAGCTGTGTGTGAGACCGTGTCATGTGATAGTCCCACCACACGTGTAAGGCCACATGCAACGACCATTTCTCCAGCAGGGAGGGGCTCCTTCCCCACTGTGGCCCTTCCCTCGGCAGCCAGCCAGCTCGCTGTGCTGCGGGGCACGAAGCAGACCCCTGAGAAGTGATGGCAGAGTGAGTGAGCCTCCCCCACCCCACCCCTCTCCCCAACGTTACGGTGCCTCTGATTCTTTGTGCCTACGTCCGGTCCTGTGTCACCCTGTGTTGACCCATTTGAGGGCATGGATGGAAGCAAAACTATCAGCAGCCCTTTATTGGCCACGACCGCACCCGTACTCCAGACGAGAAAACTAAGACTCAGAGAGAGCAAATCGGTCCCAGCCCAGGTCTGCCGCCTCCAAGTCCATGCTCATGACCACAGGGCCCTCTTGCCGGGCAGGAAAGTCATGCACGGTTGCATCTATTATTTTATTCTCATTTAATGTTTATTTTTGCAAGAGAGAGAGCAGGGGAGAGGCAGAGAGAGGGAAGGAGACAGAGGATCCGAAGTGGGCTCTGCACTGATAGCAGAGAGCCCAACACGGGGCTCGAACTCACCAGCGGTGAGATCGTGACCCAAGCTGAAATCGGATGCTCAACCCGCGTCTATTATTTTAACTGTGCATGCGACAGTGCAGTTACTGCATGCTACTGGAAGGGATGACACGCAGGGGTGCCATGGAGGGAGCACAGGCCTCGGAGTCAGAACTGACCTCCCTTCCACCGTGCCCTCCCATCCCTGGCTGCCTAACCTCAACCAGGTGACTTCAAAGCCCGGAGCCTCAGTTTCCACATCTGCAGAAAGGGGGCATCACAACAATAGCGTCCATCCTGCCACTCTGTTGTGGGGATTAAACACGAATGGACTGTGTGTGGCACTGAGAGTGAAGCTGATAAACGGGAACTGGTGTGGTTATCATCCGGGAATTGGTTTTGTGGGAGGCGAGGCGGAGGAGGAGACACCTATTCTTTATCTTGACTGAAAAATTAGATAATGAGGCCCTAGCCTAGATGTGTGGATTAGCTAGACTTTTTATTCAGCTTTGCTAACGGACACTAAAAATATATCGTGGCTACAGGCACCTGGGTGGCTCAGTCGTTTAAGCCTGTGACTATTGATTTCGGCTCAGGTCATGATCTTACTGTATGTGAGATCGAGCCCCGCATCAGGCTCTTTGCTGACACTGCAGCAAATCCCTACTTGGGATTCTCTCTCTCCTTCTCTCTCTCTGCCCCTCCCACGCTTTCTCTATCTCTCTCAAATAAACTTAAAAATATTTTTATTTTTATTTTTTAAATTTATTTTTAAAAATATTTTTAATAAAAATATATAGTGGCTTAACTAGGAGGGGGGAGGAGCTCCATATGTTTCTCTCATGAAAAGGTCCAGTTAATACCCAGGGCTAGAATAGTAGCTTGAGAATGTCAGAGACCCAGCCTCCTACCTTGCTGCTTGCTGCCTTCACCTGGCACTTCCACCCTGTGGGCCAATATGGCTGCGCCAGCTCCTACCATCACATCTGCATTCCAACCACTGAGAAGAAAAAAGAAAGTAAAATGCATGTCCCTGGGTTTTAAGACTAAAACCCAGAAGTTATACGTATCACATTCTATTCCCTAGAATTTAGTCATGGGCCCACACCTATCACAAGGGAAACCAGGAAATGTCATTGGTTTTCTGGGCAGCACATACCCAGCTAAAATTCTGAGGTTCTGTTACAAAAGGAAGAAGGGAGAACGGCCATGGAGGCCCAACAAGTGTATCTGTCACACTCAGGTCACCAAGTGGCTATGTGACCCTGGGTGACATGAGTTTACCATCCGGAGCCTCGGTTTCCTCACTGGCAAAATGGGATTAACACCGGTCTTTCGGGGTTGAGGAGTCAATCGGGACTCAATGAGAGTGTGGGGGCCAGACGTTTAGCACAGGGCCTGCCCATAGTCAGCCTAGAGTGTGTTGGGAATCTCCTTGAACTTGCGAGTCCAGGATGTGGGTGATGTGCCTCTTCATGTGTGAGAAACTCTCCCCAGGTTCAAGAGCTGAACCCAGCATTGACCTTGGTAAGTTACTTCTCTAAAACAAAGGATCTGGCTTCTCCACACATGGAAATCCCCTCTCAGCCTCCTAACCTTGGGACCGGGCATGTGTCCTTACACACCCATCCCCCTCACGCCCTCATCCCCCTTCCCCTGGAGAAGGGCAGACTCCTAGGAGCGGGGAGGAGCTCCATATATAGGGTCTCCAGCC